AGTTGTTGCGGCCTGTTTGGTTGTCTGGTGACTACGAAAAACGATGTCTATTCACGGCTTGACAAAAATTTTGAAGTGCAGATATGATGCATTTAACTTTTTAAGGAACAATTTTCGATCACTCCTCCTAATAGATCCGCCTTAATTCGAGCGATGTCCCCGATTATTTTGGCTTTAAGAGCATGCACCGGTCGATTGCGACTCAATACCTTGAGGAAACCCCTTAAGAGAAAATCCAGCGGGGTCGAATCGCGCCATCTTAGTGGCCAATTCATCAGATATCCATACCCTCGCATCGTTCTGTGAGGTTCTATGTGATTAGGTATCAATGACTGAAAAAAAATTATACATATATTAAACAGGCACCAAAAAAAGGACATCGCTGTCTGGGGGCGCCAAAATGTACCAGCGCTAATTGCAAAACCCTTAGTCAAGTTTGAATGCTTCATCTTTTTAAAGACGTTTCAAAGGAAAAGTTATGGCGTGGTTTTAAATTTTTTCCCAAAACTGTACATACAGTGACTGAAACTAATCACCACCTGTCGATTTTTTTTTTTTGTGATATTCGTAATGTTCTTCAAGCTAAATTATTATTTTTAATTTTTCTATAAAAAAACCGTCTATGTTTTAACCAAACTTCAAACTTTATACAACATTTAAGAAAATTCAACAAATTTTCATCAAAATTTCAACTTTTTACTCTGAATACTTAAAAAATTTTTGGGTATGCAGTTTTATAGCCCATACGATTTTAGGTGATTTTTAACAATTTTTTTTGGTGACTAATTTTTGCACTTTATCTATATAAAATTTCAAAAAACCAAAGCCAGTTTTTGTAAATTACACTTGCTATATTGGAATTTTTGAAAACTGATTCAGTTTTGTAATGAATGACTCAAAGAACCTTTGGATATCAAATTTCACAATATTTTGAAAATTTTTTAAAGCAACCGCCATTTGGAATTTTTCAAAATTGTCTTCAGCTTTGTAATCAGCAACTCAAATAACCTTTGGATATCAAATTTCAAAAAATATGAAATTTTTTTAAAATTCACACGTTGTATTGGATCAGCCATTTTGAATTTGTAAAAACAGATTTCTAATTAGCAACTCAAAAACCCTTGGATATCGAAATTCATTAAAAACTGAAATCTTTTTTAAATCAATACGCCATTTTGAATTTTCGAAAACTGATTTTAGTTTTGTAATCAGCGACTCAAGGGACCTTTGTAAATACATATGTACATTACACTGCATCACCAAAAAAAGTTGCAGTTTTTCCGCCGGGACTACGAAATTTATTATATTTTAAGACGTCCAACAAAACATTTAAACATTTTTAAAATATCTTTATGCAAATTTTTTAAGCTTAAACCGTTCTTTAAATCTTTAAGAAACTATTTTTATTCATAAAAAACTCCATTTTTGGAGGTATTTTTAAATCGGTCCAGCTCACGTAAATCTTAATATTTTTCCAAAATATTTTGGTGGACGTCTTGAAATATAGTAGATTTTATAATTCCAATGGAAACACAGTACGAATTTTTATGGGGAGTGATGCAGTCTAATGTACATATATCGAGCGACATATTTTCAATTTTTTTTTTTTTATTTTTTTACGCAGAAGTGTTCCTAGAGCATGTAGATGCATTTCTGTATTGAAAATAAAATCTGAAAAAATGTCACTTATCTACATCTTTTTGGCGGTTAGGGCTCACATTTCATAAAAATCTCAATTTCAGTTTTGTAATCAGCGACTCAAAAAATCTTTTGATATCAAATTTAATAAAAACCTCACAATTTTTTTAAAATCCATCCGCCGTTTTGAATCTTTGAAAACAGATTTCAGTTTTGTAGTTAGCAACTAAAACAACATTTGGAAATCAAATTTCACAAAAATCGACAAGTTTTGTGAAAATTCATCCTACATATTGGATCCTGAATTTTTAATTTTTAAAAAGTGTCTTCAAAAGGAAAAACATACTTTCCTTCCTGATCGCTTAGCAGAAGCACTTTTCCCCCATATTACATCAAATCTCTTAGTATTTCCGCGACATTTTCATTTTTTTATCCGCTACTGATAGTTGATATGTGGTTATTAGTACATCACTATCTCCGCGCTCAAGAGTGCAACCGTTGACCATGAGCTAAATGCATGGCGCACTTCAAAAATGCAAGCTACGAAGAGCCAGCCACATAATTCACGCCATTTAGTGGCAAGTGCCAGCAGCTGTCGCTATTTTCTGGCATACATATGCTGTGCCCAAATTTGGGTAAGCGTTACAACTCAAAACACCAGCTGCCGCCCTCTGCCCGAAACTTTTTCAACATACATACATGCATATGTAGATATGCGTGCGATTGTTTCGTTTTCTTCTTTCTTCATACTAAATACATACAACTTACTGCTGTCACAGCATATCTGTCATGTTTCTATGGCGCTTGCATTGCTTGTACACATTCCGGTTTCTTATCGCTGCTCGCAGAAAGCTTTCTTTTCTTCCGGGAAATCACACGCCCGTCCGCATTCCCGCATACTCGCTCACCATTTCGCACCATTTTCCTTCAACGCATATTTTATGCATTTCCTTGTACTTAAGTTTGTTGGTGCTGTAGCTGTGTTGTTGTTTTTGAAATCTTGCTTTTTTTGTTGTCATGTACTTACCGCCGCGCGCTGACACTGCTACTGCCACTGTAGCCACTGCTGTCATTATTGATGACAAGAAAATAAGCGCGCTGAGCTCAGTTGCTTCGAGCATTTTTTCACTTGTTCGCGCTCGTTTCCTGATATCATCTTCTAGTGCGTTTGCTGCTTCTTCTTCTTCTTCTTCTCATTCTTCAACATTTGTCATTAAAAATCCATCTGCAGCATTTTCGAGTGTACAAAGCAGATGTTGAAGCAGTCAAGTTTGTGTAAGACGAAGCGGAAGGAATGTTTGTACTCATACGTACATATATGTATAAGAAACACTGCACGTTTGAGATACCCTGCAGGAACTGTGCAACGAGAAAAAATAACCTAATAAAATATAGAAAAAGAGGGATAACGTCTCTATGTTTGCACTCAATGAAGTCTTTTGCGTTTTGGACTTATTCATAAAAGTGATATTTTCAATTTTAGAAGTCATAATTTTTCTCTGTGTACTTATTTTTAGTGTGCTTAGTTTGGTAAAGTTTCTAACGAAAATCAATTTGGAAAGAGCGCGCAATCTTAATAATTCAAACATTTAACAGTCACAGCTTAGGTTAGATGGCAACCCTATGTTGTTACCGTATATATAGAAATAATTTTCTGCAAGTAGTCTACTTCGACGTTCGGCTGAAGTCTACACAGTTTTAATGACATACTATTTGAGATGTTTAAGAAGTGCTGAAATGACTCCAGCTCGTCATGTTAAGTCGTAGCGCAAGAGTTCCTAATGGACAGTAACCTGCAACATCGCTTAATTAGCTCAAAAAGATGCATTGACCATCTGCGGTCCAACACCTGTCAGGAGTTTCACCCACCACACTATTCATAGAATAGACTAAAAGCCCATAAGTCTAGGAATGAGTCTAAGGTTACCACAAAAACTCGAATACCCTCCCCGCTGATAGGGGGAATGAAATCGAACAAGCCACGTCGAATGAAATCATCTACCTTATCTAAAACCTCACTGTGTTCTGCGGGCTCAACTCAGCCTAATTTGAAAGACTTCGAGGCGACTGAACGTGAGTTCAAGCCTTCCCTGCTCACTTCCGATCCCTTCATAAGCTTTGCTGGTTGGCCGTCAAAGTGGATTTTTGTTCTTAGAATCTGTATTGCACTATTGAATCTTTGATTGAAACACAATGCAAAAATTTTAGGCAGAAATAGGCGCATTATGTAAGCACATTAGGGTGGTCCTTAAATGTTTGGAGCACATTTTTGCATCAGATTTCCTTAGCCTTAACCCCTGTGTCGATGCTACTATAACCGAAGATATCACATATACATAAGTATTGGTCCCGATTGGAGTCGGTTAAGGCGTGTCACACAGCGGCCAAAGTTCAAATTACCCTATGCGACACGCCTTAACCGTCTCCAATCGGGACGAAAATTTATATGTGATATTTTCGACCGTGGTATTACCGATTGAAGGGGTGAGACTGAAAAATATTGTTAATTTGATTTTCTTTAAGGACCACCCTAATGTGCACATGTCCATTTGTCTATATCTACCTCGATTTTTTTAAATTTTTGAACCAATTTTACAATTGTCTACTATTTATGATTTGGTTTTAAGCAAATATTTATCACGATTTTCGAACGATTAATACAAAGATTTCCTGCTTGGTTTCTATAAATGCATGCATAGTAGGCAAGAGCTTCTGCAGACGCATTTGTATGTCCAAATTTGTGTATGTGAGTACATCTGCTCAATGCATTATATAAAAGAAATCATTCTTTGAAATCGCTACAGAATTTATGAGCTTGGCAATTTTCACTCATTACTTTTGTTAAGCGCTCACTAAGCCGAAATATATTGAAATAAGTATGCGTATGTATGTATGTATGTAGCATATGCAATTTATCGAATGCAAAGTGAGCTTTTTAAAACTTTTCAATTAAATATGTTTAATATTTATCAAATAAAAGATTTTTTTTTTAACTAGCCGAATTTAGCGTGCGATGTATTCAAATGATTAAATTTAATTGACTTTTTGGTATTATTTTTATCAAATATTTTCTTGTTGCATTTATGTAGTTATTGTTAACAAATCGTGCCAAGCTCGCTGCGCTTATTCGATTAATACAAATTTTGGAGCTCTTGGTTGTGAAATTCATTGTGTACTGTGCTTCTTAATAATACCTTAAAATACTTATACAAATTATTGTAATTTCGCATAAGCTGTGGAAGAAAAATCAGAAAATTGTTCCGTCATCCATTCAAAAAAAATCAATATTTGAAAATTTTTATACTTTTCGTGATTTTTCTTTAATATTTTTATAAAAAATAATTTAACACATCAAATTAAAAATGACCAGCAGCAACATTAACAAAATTATGCGCAGCAATATAACACTAAAGGTAAGTTTGAATAAATAGAACAGTTAAGAATAAAATTCATTGAAACTAATTTTGCACCGGCATTCAACCTGCTTTTCGCAACTCTGCTGTTCTGCAATGTGTCGTTTAAATGGTGATGCTATTGGCTTTGATTGGTTACCTACAGCCGTGGATACTTTCGAAGAATACTTCCGAAATTGTGAACGCCTGTATACAGAAAATTTACAAACAAACGCAAAATAACTTCAAGAATGGTGAGTTGATTGTTGTAATTTACTCAGCTGAGTTTGATTAAGCTAAAAGCTATATATATATATATATATATATATATATAGTTACATAACTCAGTAATAATTTTTGATTAAGGAGCTAAAATTGAGCTGGCCTGCTATGTGCGGAGGACTAAAAACTCACCCACAGTCCGCAGTTCTCACAGTCCAAAACCGATCACAGAAACAGATCTCTATTTGATTGCAGGTCTTCTTTGATTCACGCGTATCTTTAAAGATCCCCTCGAGTGCCCTTGTCAGCTATTTAGGTAAGGTGTTTCAATCAGGCAAATGACTGGGGGTATATTTTGTATTGCGACTCGAAACTCAATGCGACTCGAAAGGCGACGCGGACAAATTCATAGTGCGAAGAATTTCGAGTCCGAATGATTGCTTTTCGAATCGAAATACAGAGTAGAACCCCCAAGACCTAGTAAGTCCTTCACGGTGCAGTTTTTAAAGAGCAAAGAACTCCTAGTTTTGACAATTGCCTCTCCGCCTGGGGTAAAAGCCTGCAATAATTAGTTACTTGGTAAAACTCTGAGTACTTCTGTGCTTATTCCATTAAGTAGATCCAAGTTCTTCGTCTTATTATATTCATGCTGGGATTGCCTTGATATTTTACAAGTCTGCATATGTCACAGTCCCCTTCTACGCAGTCCAAATAAATACAGATTCATTCCTTTCTGGATTTTTCCAAGAGGGCCATCCAGTGCCACCAAATTAACGACGTTAGCCGTAGGATCAACCTTAAACTCTTTTTGACTATACTATTTGGCGACTATGTTCAGCATCTTTTTCACAAAGAAAACAGAGTAGTTCGTCGACTACCCCACCCAGTGGGCGTCCTTTCTTTGGTAAGAATCTGACTCTCGGATATAATAGTTCTGGTATTAAGGGCGCTTGCTGTCTAGAGAAATGTGGTAGCCTAAACCTCTATGCGCTATTGTCTGTTAGGTAGTATTCTGTACTATCAAAAACATGCTCTACGTCTATAAAGCTATGTCATTGTTCCCCGTGGACTTTTTAATTTTTTTTTATGATTCTGCCTATGATTCTTTCCATCGTTTTTAGCAAAAAAGGCGTAGGAACGCTGGGTCAATAGAGTTGTGCTGGGTCTTCTGGTTTTCCTTGGGTATGGCATCGGATCGTCACATGCATGCCCTGAATAGCGGTAATAAAAAAGCAGCAAATGCGGAAAGGTGAAATCTACTCCAAATGCTTGAAGGGCGCGTGCAGGCGTCTGGCTATTCTTCAGTCCACTACGCAAGGCCAACTGCCTTGATTTCTTTTACCTGTCAGCTATGCCTTATGCCTAGCCTAGCCTTACCTTGCCTTTTTTTGATGCAACTGACACAGGCTAATCCTATGCAAACCACCCTATTTGTGGTGATACGATTAAATGCCCAATTTCATTCGACGCCTTTCGTTCATCGTGAGGCCGAGGTGTTTAATGGCGCTGGTTTTTAGGTATACCAACTTAGCCTAACTAAACCTTGCCCAACTAAACCCAGCTGTTATACTAACAAGGCTGTGAAGCCTAGTAGGAAGCACCAGGCTTCCAGTAAGGTGTTTTGTCAACTCCATTTTTCTTAAGGTAACTAAAATTCCTTTCTTTCATTCGATGCGATAAGAGTCGTCATTCAACCACTCACTTCACGACTCATCCCGGTTCAACGATCTTGAATTTAGGCTGCTACTAAATAAAAGAAATAGTTTTACGAGAGCATGTGGATTCTCATAGAGCTTTCACCCTTTAGTTTGAGCAGCCTTATTATATACTACATTGTATATTGATCATTTGATCATACTAACAAACCGATCAGTTATCATTGACATTTTTTCCCATTTCCTTTCAGACCCAAGTAAAATCGCCGCAGCTAAACCCGAAAATAAGGGACCGCTACGTGCACTCAAGTCACAAGAGCGCGTTCGCACTCCACTCAACATAAATGTATCACGCGTCAAAAAGGGAGCTGCAGCAAACAATACGCCGGGCGATGGCAATGCTGGGACAGCAGCTGTCAACAGCGGTGGCGGTGTTGTCGGCGAACGATTGGCCAGCAATGCGGCAGCCAACAGCCGCCGAGGCGCCGTAGCCAATCTAACAGCTCAACGCAAGCTATTGAAATCTTCGCCCAACTACAAGATCTACACTTCACGCCGCTTCGGCTCGAGTGCCAGTAGTTCGAATGCGAGTATATTTCGGCGCAACGACGTTCCACAGCGCCGACGTTCCACAACACAAACAGCACAACTAAACTTCTTGCTGCGAACCTATGCAACACAACTAAATGCACCTAGCGCCTTCACCAAACAATCGGTATTGCCAAAGTTTATGATTTCGGCGCGTAACCAGCATATGCAAAGTCGCACAGAAGTAGCCACACCGTCACACGTGGCGCACTTGGTATCGGCTATACAGCGCGACTTGCTACCCATCAACACCGAGATTAAGAATCGCATTGCGCTCGGTCGCCCGCGTATGGGAAAACTAGCCGCACAGAAGGCGACAAATGATGATCCCATGAGCGGTTGGCATCATCCGCCAGCACAGGAGCTCTTCTTGTCGCGTCTCAATCAGCAGGGGATCGCAAGCACCGAATTGCAGGAACAATACCGTCGCATGAAGAACGCCAACAAGATGCGTCAGTTCGAGAATTTGCGTCAATTGGAAAGGCTGGGTTCGATGGGCAAGAAGGCGTTGCGACACGTACAAAATGAGGTTGAGGTGAACGCTGAAGTGGCAACAAAGCGCGATCTACCACATCGGCCCACGCGTGAGCAAACGCCGAATTTCGAAGGATCATACGCTACTCGTGCAATGCCGCAACAGGCTTATGAAGCGGATGCAATAGAAACACCTAGCACACTTGCAACTTTGGACGCCCCGCAGGCATTTTTAGCCATGCCACGCGCTTCGCAGCTAACCAGCGCTGCGCCAAGCCATGCCGTGACGCACAGCGGCCAGTCGAGATCACATTCACTGCTCGCAAACGAAGAGCGTTACGTTTCGAGTGCGAACTCGGCCACACCGGCAATAGATGCTCCAACGGCGGCTAACAGCGCCGCAACAACAGCCAAACAACTAAGTCTTCCTGCGCAGTCTGAAACAAAGCCAACGCCGCTCATATCTAAACAATTCCTGCGGATTACGAAACACTCTGCTACATCACAGCTGAGCAGAGCTGCAGCGCAAAATCAGATGCGTTTCAATCACAGTGCTCATTTGAAAAAAATTTGAAAAATCGAAAACGTGAATTTCTAGCAAGGAAGGACTTCGTAGATACCAGGCATGCATTTATGTGAGATATATATAAGGATATCGTTATAGGATGTGTAAGAAGATTAAGAAGTGAAGAGTATTTATATATGTACATGTGAAGGTAAATAGATGTGGAGAAAGAGGAACAGCGATGCGTAGCATGGTAAATGCAATGGAAAAGCTTTCAAAAGCAAAATAAATAATTTTCACAAGTTCATTTTAACCAGCACACGCATCGCTTTCGTTCTCTTCTCATTTATTGGCTTGACAATTTGTTGTGCATAAATTTTTTAATTGAAATGAGCAGAGTATAAATTAAACGTTACCCTTTTGGTTATTTTTGGTCGCGATAATCGTGTTGAAATATTAGTAAAACAAAATGTTCGACTTTCTAAATGTAAATTTATTTGAAATACTTTCGGAAAGAGATCCCTATAATTTGATATGTGTTGTGGCAATTTTTATGAATAATAAATAGAATCATATGATTAGAAAAGTGATTCAATTTTTTCTTTTTTGCTTCATTAGGCTACTAATAACACCTAGTGCCTAAAGGTATGCTACACCCCCAAGCAACTGATGCCAAGCCAGATATAAAGCAAAATTTCATATTAGAAATTATTTATGCACGTGCACTTCTCAAATGCCGCAGAGAAAAACATGCTGAAATTGTTAATTGCTTGCACCCCAAATCATACTTAACACTACCGCTTGTTGCATCACAACTCCTCTGGAGTTGTCTCACGGGGCTCTGTATGGCATTTTAGCAAACAGGGGTGGTACAAGATTTACCAGTGGTCACAGCGCCTATCCATGAACATACACTGCCGGAACAAAGTTATGGCACAGCAAATTTTTCACAATATATCGAGGGCTTATATTCAATACCCTCTATCTACAATTTTGATGAAAATGAGTTTTTGATGGTAACGTGAGCTCTTATTTATCCTTCGGCCATGACAATAATGCCAAACTTAAAATTTTGCTTTTATGGTATTATATTCTCATTTTGAAAAATCCACTATCTGCAATAACATTTTGTTACAAAAGCAAAATCCTCTATCTACACAATTTTGCTGGAAAATCGTTTTCATTACCATTTTTTTGTGGCAGGTCAAATAGTTACATAATAAGTTACATGTGCCGATGCATGTATGTATATGTTCCGGTAAAATCCGATCTTAGGTCAAACTAGTTTTGCCCAGGCTAAACTTGTTCTACCTAATGGGATGTCCAACCGAAACCAAATCTTGTGGACTGCGTAGCTTCAGTTGGACTGATGATGAGAGATACAAAAATAGTTTATTCTAAGATCGGGTTTGGCCGGTAGCTTACAGGTATATACATGTCCGCTCATTTACTACAATAATGTCAGAACTCAAAAAATCAAAACTCGAGAAAGACGGCTTTAAAGTTTTGAATTTACATATACGCCGATACTAAAAATTAGTACATATTTTATTCTAGTGAGATTCTGGTAAAGGCCTGTATGCAGCTCTCAAGAAAAGCAAAAACTCCATATAAAATGATGTACAAGAAATGGCTAAGAAATTTTCTTGAGTCAAATTTCCTTAAGGCAGTACACAGTTCTTAAGAAATTTACTACGATTTCTACTACGGTTTTCTAAAGTTTTTTGTGAAGAAAGAGCATAAGGCAACCCAGTTTTGCAATAGAAATATATGCCCGTTCCATTATTTCTTGAGGAAAGAGTGAGGCAACAGGCTGTGAAGTATCAAAAAATGTCAAAATTCCTTGGACACACACGCGAAATAATGGCAATTTTTTCTTGACCGTTTTCTTGAGAGCTGCATACAGGGCTTAATCAATACAGCTATGATATTTTTACACGAAATAGAAGAAGACGTAGCGATAATTTCTGCATACTCAACTCAAAATTTGTATTTTTTGGATTATGACACTACTAAAGTAAATGAGCGATGTGTATATGTTTATTTGCCTCCACTTGGTCCGAAGATTCCCACAATTCTCTCTTACTCATATCTATTTAAGAGTTTGACCAACCACCTCTTCGATGACAGGCAAAAGCCCTGGTGCAGACAAAATCCCGTACCCCGTTCTAAAAAATCATCCGTATCCCATCAAACATAGAGTCATTAAACTCCATAACTACATTTTATTTCAAGGGTTATATCATCAAGAGTGGGAAACTGCTAATATTATTCCTATTGCCAAACTAAATACGCTAATGATATTTTAATTTTTTCTAAGACTAAGGACTTGACGCAAGTAAAAATTATTTTTTCTAACATACTAAACGATCTAATCAATTGGTCCAAATCTTCAGGAGCTCAGATTTAAGCTGAAAAAATAATTTTTTCACATATGCAGAAAATACAAATACATACATATGTACATCCAACCCTCTCCTTGTCTAACACCCCTCCCCTATACTGATACATTGAAAATATTTGGAATGATTTTTTACAATAAACCTACTTTTAAGCAGAACTGTCATTATGTAAAAGTTGACTTTGGGCTCGTAATTTATGGACACTGCGCAAAAAAAAACATCTTAAATTGCTAGAAACACCTTACTATGTAGCAGAGGAGAAAAAGCATCCGTGCATTTCCCACCTCGCCAATAAAAGCTATCTCTCACGTCGAATCCTGCTTTCAACAAAAAAACTGATGTAGCAAGCAATCACCTTTATTTCGTATATTAAGCTACATCAAAGATTTCGACATCATCCGATGCTTACTAAAGTAAAAACTCTACCGCAAGGGCATTTGCCCAGTTTGATACTCATAAATTACCTGGGAGCTTATTTTCACAGACGGTTCCAGATATGGTGGTAACAAAAGGGCTGGGTGTTACAATTGTCTTCATTGCTTTTCCCCCGTACTGCTCGGCATTTACAGCCGAATCAGCTGTACGTTTCGCCTCTATAAACGAAGGAAATTTCCTCATCTGAACGGACAGTAAACCAGCCAGCGAAGCCTCTTTTAACAGTGCTAATGATTCTCATATAATTTCGAAATCACGTGAAATACTCTTTTGACACAAAAACACATTTAAAATTATGTGGTTACCTGGGCACATCGGAATAGAAGGGAACGAATTTTCACACCTATGATTTCTGCATTAAAATCTTAGTTTAACATAGTATTTACTTCTAAAGAACTGACATTTTCATTATTCTGCAAAACCCTCTATCAGCAAATTTTTCTATATAAATAGTTATAATTCGAATTGCAATAACCTCTATCTGATCTTTAAACTAAAATTAAATGAATTAAAAGTAAAAAACTAGTTTTAGTATATTGCGTGAATATTTAAGACATGCGTGTGTACTTAAAATTATTAACACTTTTAAAAACAGCTGCCAAAACAGTTTTTTTGCTCTCCTGAAAAATTGAGTTTTTGCAGATAGAGGGTATTGAATATAAGCCCTCGATATGCAACAATTTTTATTCTAATATTTTATGGTTCATATTACAACAAAAAAAAACATAAAAATATAATTCCTAAACTTTGTGCAAAACTCGCAAAAATTCAGCAAATTTTCTTGCAAATTTTCTACTTTATAATCAGATTTTTCTGAATTTTTTTGAGAACGCAAGTTTGTAGCCAATCAAATTTATTATACAGAGGTGTACAAAAGAAACATCGATAGTCGTCATCAACCATCGATGTTTAGCAAAAATGTATTACCATCGTTGCATCGATAGTGCCAGGATGTCTTCTCCACCTCTAACCCCCCCAAAAGATCCACCGGATCTTTCTGGCTTTAATGAATTTCAGTATGCCATACGGAGAGAGAAGGCTGCACTCTAAGATATTCTGCAGGAATGGTTCGCCAGAAAGGAAGGAACGCCAGATCTTGATTCGGTTTTCAAAAAATATAAAGAATTTGTTGCGGCCTTTTTCAAGATATATAAATACATAATACACATGTGTGTGTATAGGCTTATTCTGCATTTCAAAAAGGTAATTAAAAAAAAAAATCTTAAAGTCCGCTACTCAAAAAGATGTCCCGCATATTTGTAAGTTCACTATAAATAAGCTTTGAAAATAAGGAAAGTAAAAGTAGCAGTAGATCTACAAGTGCAAGTATTTATAAAATCTAACATATAACTTATTCTTGAACATTTATGCAGTAATCTGCATTGCTGCTTTCAAGTGCAGTAATATTTTTACTCTTTTTTCTCAGCCCGCACCAACAGAGGTCTTAGATATGTAAATCTTTTGACATGAAAAAGGCGCGCCTGTTAACGCAATTAGCTGCCATGTTTGCTCTTTCAATTCTATTTATTCCCAGCCAGCAAGAAAACGTACATTTTACGAACATTATGTTTTACGAGGGATTCTCGTATCGCCAAAAAGTTAGTAAAAGCTCGTAAACGATAAAACAAAAAAAATATAATAGAGAGAGGCTTGTAGTAATTTGTCAGCACAAGAAAAAATTTTAGTTTTGTTGACAATTTTTCTTCAATCACAATATTTTATAAGTAAGTAGTTTTTTAAATATTCAATTTAAGTAAATTATTAAGTATGTAATTTATTGGCAGACTGGTGCAAATGCAAAGGACGATCTACCACTTTCTTTTATAATTAAACTTCTTGTAAGTAGCTACTACATATGTAATTCAAAAATACAAATTAATTTAACGAGTTTTGCAATTCTTTCACAGGCTGCGCGGAGCAACACTAAAGGATTTAAATACTTTAAGTGTAGATAAATATTTAAGAACGTGCTGGTGGAAAATTATTATAGATGAGGTAGCAGAACTTTTCTCGTGGAAGGGAACTGGTACCAAAAGCAGAGCTATTGGTTTGGCAACGACTGCGGCAATAAGAAGTACGGATATTAATATTTTTTACCACTTTTTACTTAATTAAATTTTCCGATTTCCAATGGAGTTTAATCTTTCACTTTATTTTCTTAGGTGCTTTTCGTCAAAAATTTAACTCCGGCGAAGAAATTTTTATTTCCGTTGCAAAGAAGCACTTCCAATA